TTTAGATCGTTCTTAACGGATCGGCTGTCTCGATAAACTTTTTTTCTCCCTCTTTCTCTTCCTTTTCTATTTCCCTCTAGCCACCTCAAATCCTGACGTTCGACAGATCCGTCCGTCGAAAAAATGGTGTAAAAATTGGGGGAGATGACGGATGAAGGGGGGAGGAATGATTTTTGATCCTCTTTGGTCGCTTTATTGTTTTCGGTTTTCCCTTCCCTATTTTCATCGCGATTTCTGGATAACAGGGAGGATTCTTCGTCGACTTTTGGAATTGTGACAGAGTTTCGAGATGAAAATTATTTAAGGGCGAACGAACTTGCGTTTGTTCATCGATGAAAATGTCGATATTTATCTTTAGCAACACTTTTATAATGATTGCGTAAAGTTTTTATAAATTATGAAAGTTTATGATGAAGTTTATCATGGCACTTGCGTTACAAGAACGTAGAAAGAAAAAATCAAAATGATATAATTATTTTCTTATAACGAAGAAGAGCTTGCTTTTCGTCTTTTCAATTTTATGGACAGTTTTCGATAAAATTTTAAATGTATTTTAAAATATATCTTTTTAAAACTTTTTTAAATCCCCATTAAATACAATTTATAGAATGTCTACGAATAAAACGAATAAAAATTTATAATTTCTTATTTCCTCGTTTAAAATTATTTCTACTGGAATTACTGGAAAAAGTCTCATCCCTAACTCTTAATTCTTATTCCATAATTTCCCATTCTCTTTTCTACACTTTTAATCCCAATACTTATAAACAAGAATATACATAACCACACCGATCGATATTTCACACGAGCATGCATTATACTCGATATACAACACCTATCGAACGGAATGGATCAACATTGCAACTTTACCATCCGCTCAATTGCAAAAACAGGACTACAAAGAAGCGTACACGTGGAACAAAATCGCGAGAAACCTCGCAATATATATATATATTGCATCAAACGTGCCGCAACGTAATAAACGAGAACGTCTGGTTCTTGGTCGGTTGAAAAGTGGAGCACACGAGGAACGCGGCGGCGTGACGAGGCGACAAAGCGGCTAATTGATCGATCCTCCATTCACCCGCGCGACCATCTTCGAGAACGATCGGTGTTTAGCGCCAAGATTAATATTGGCCCCTGCGTTTGAGGCCAATTGTACGGCGGAAGTTGGCCAACGACCATTTAAATCTATGGCGGCTGCTACCAACCCTCCCGCCGATTTGTTATAGAAATAATGTTGTGATATTGTTGTGAAATTAATAGGAGGAGGAGAAGACACCGGTGTGCAGGAGAAATTTTGGAAATAAACTCGAAACAACGCTGAAACTCGTGTAATATACGATATATTAATATGCGGTGGGTTTGCAAGAGATAGTGATGGAGTTGAGTGTATCGCGAGTGAGTTCAAGAATCGATTCGAGTATTTTTTGAAGAAGAGGAGCAGAGTTTTATTACGGATATCTTTAAAATATTTTTGAATAAAATCTTTCTTCATTAGGAGAAATTTTGGAAATAACAACACTGAAACTCGTGTAATATACGATATATTAATAGGCGGTGGGTTTGGAAGAGTGATGGAGTTGAGTGTATCGCGAGTGGGTTCAAAGATCGATTCGAATATTTTTTGAAGAAGAGGAGCAGAGTTTTATTACGGATATCTTTAAAATATTTTCGAATAAAATCTTTCTTAATTAGGAGAAATTTTGGAAAAAAAACTCGAAACAACGCTGAAACTCGTGTAATATACGATATATTAATATACGGTGGGTTTGGAAGAGGTAGTGATAGAATTGAGTGCATCGCGAGTGAGTTCAAGGATCGATTCGAATATTTTTTGAAGGAGCAGAGTTTTATTACGGATATCTTTAAAACATTTTCGAATAAAATCTTTCTTAATTATTGTAATTTTTACGATACGATCTAGTTTCGATATCTATTAAAAATTAAATACTGTTTCTTTTTTGAATAATTACAAGTAGAAGAATTAAAATAAAATTTTATTTTTCTTTTATCTTCATAATTTGAGTATTATTTACAAAAGATTCGTTTCATTTCAATATCGAAATATTTATAAATATTATTTTGAAATTGTTAAATATTCATTCTCAGATTCAGATATTACCAACTTGCCGGCCATTTATAACTTTATTCATTATATTACAAATATAATATTTGTATTTCAAATTCCCTTTAATATTCTGAAACTATCTATTATAACTTGCTTTCATCGGTTTCTCGAAAATTACAAATCAAACCAGGATAAATTCCATTTATTTCCACACGTGGCAACTTTCTGCCGAAGGTTGTTCATTAAACGATTAAATATTAATTAAACAGCAATGGTTGCAACAAAAAGTTCGTTGTTCAATTTTACCTAAATTGCAATCGTTATTAAAATCTCACCGTTAAACAAAACTTCAATATATTATATAAACTTCTCCCCAATCTCTTTCTCTACATTATTATTTCCTTTCTTTTGCAAAAAAAAATTAACTACTAATAATAATAATTCAAAATCATCTAAAAACAATATATACAACGCGTTGTTCAAATACGAATGAATAAGACAATGTCAATCTTCTTGGGAGATTGTAATGCAAATAACGTAAACACTTTTGAGGTGATAGTTGGACGAGATTGAATTTTCATGCAATTAGTTACGTGTTCCTTATGCATGATCGATTAAAGGCGGATATGGATTTCGTAGGGTTCTGAGGAACGTTTAATAGATTGTCGACAGAGACGGTTTCTAAAAGTGAATCTGTGACCTGGCACGATATTACGTAGCTACGCGTTAATATCGGTTCTCCCGTACATATACACGTAATTATGTATCGGTGTCTCATAAACATGTGGCTGTGCGTTAAATAATGCAGGGAAAATAGTAGCCACTGTTGGAATTAAAGTAGCGTTTATATTAATGAGACCGATTAACAATTATCAGTATGTTATTAGTCAATGTTAATATGTGTACAATCAATGCGTGTCCTCGAAATAATCATAACACTGTTTACTGTTGATTAAATAATTTATATTTCGGTTCGAATTTCTGAATCATATATCTTCTGTAAATTATTTGGAATAACATTCGTATATTTTTTTTTTTTTTTAGTTTCTAAGATTATTTCGTATGAGAATAATTTATATATGTGTGTTAATATGATATGTAAATGATAACTAGGAATAAAAATTAATTTTATAATTCTAATGTTGATTTGTTGGTATTAGTATTGAGTGTAAGTTAGACTGAGAAAATTTAAATATTTAATTTTTGACATTATTTGATATAAGAGTGATTGATATGTAATATTTGTTCAAATGTATTATAAATTATTATAATTAAAATAATGTAATGTATATGTAATTAAAATGAGAGTAATTGAAGGAATTTAGATATCTACTTTCAGCTTTTTTAATTTCTAACATTATTTGATACAAGAATAATTGACCTGTTATATTTATTTAAATATATTATGCATAATGATTATATTTAAAAAAATTAATAAATAATAGAATTTATATATAATGTATTATTCTAATGTTGGTTTGTTTGGTTCAATTTTAATACTTAAGCTAAATACTACTACATTTAATATAAATTTATTTACAAAAAGATATTTGGAAAGCTAATACATTCAATATATCAGATGAAATTATTTAAAATAATTAATTTTAAAATAATCAACGGAGAAAAGATATTAAAGTTGTATGCAAACAATTAATCAAACGATAATTTATTTTCAAGGAAGCTTTTCTCAAAGAAGAATAGACAGGACATTGCACCAACAATTAGGCAAATCGATTAGTTAATCTATTGACATGTTCCACGATCCTATCCTAATTCTGTATTGATACTGAATAGGGTCAATTACGAAAACATGCTTACGTAATCCATACTTCCAATTTACATATACTAGTACTAGCATCTGGTGCAACTTACTAAATATGCTAAGAAATTTGGCGATAGTATATCAGCAAGTAAACGTGTATATGCAAAACATTATCCACTTTACGTGGATAGGAAGAGAATTTACTCTATCCATAACACGTAGTCTCTTTTATGTGTTAAAAAAAAAGAATCATTGCCACTTCCTTTTCCTTAAATGTGTATATTTTTTAAATTTGTAAAATGCTTATATTATATAGATTTTACAAGAAAATTTTTGAAAATTTTAATTTTAATAAAAATTTGTGTATTATATATAAATGGTATAAATGTAGATCAATTCTTTATTCAATGGAAAATTTCTTTGAGAAGATGAATTCCTTTTCGTTATTTCTTTATGATTTAAAATTTTGTAACCTTATCTTATATTATTGCAGAGTTTATGTGAAAACTTTTATGACTGACTATATATTTAAAAATCTTCAATATTATTTTTTTTTAAATATATTCAATACATTTTCATAAAATACATATATGTATATTTTTGGTGTTGACACTGAAAGAAAAATCCTATCTAAATTATTTAAGAAAATTTTATTTCTTGCTGTATAAACGAAGTAGTTACAGAAATTGATATCAATGAAGTTTGAATGAAGTTTGAATAAAGTTTATCCTAGAGAAAGGAATTTTTATTTCTAGAAAGAAAACTCAAGAGACCAGAAATGAAATTTCTTTCTTTTATTTATAGAAAGATTTCACTGAAAACAAGTTTTTACAAGTTATAAAATAAAATCAATAAATATTATATAAACAGTTTATTATGAAATGTTAATGCATTTCTTCTTATGTCGAGATATTTATAGATTTACTTTTTTTCTATTTATTAAAAAATATAACATAATTTCAACATAACCACATTAAAAAGAAAGAAAGAGAAAATACACGTATTAGATTTATTTCAAAAACGATATTTAAAAGTATGGATAAGAAAAACTTACGTAAGCTTTGTGAAAGATATTGCAATGTCCGAAATATCTTTACTTATGAGCATGCATGATATAAAACAGAATCTACTATGAATATTAAACAGATGAAGGCAGCGTTAAATTACCTGTTATACATGAGAACGTCAGGCTTCCAAAGTCTGTGTGGTGGGATCCTGAGGTCTCTCACTCCCCCATAATCTGACACATTCCATCTCATGTTCACATCATTCCATTCCTGTAATTGAAAAAAACTTATTTTAAAATATCTCTTAGGAATTTTTCATCATATCAAATCACTGATATTATGCAATCCATTATACACTTTTTGTATAAAATAATAAAATTGCAATTGTATAAGGAATAGTAATCTCAAATGATATTTCAATAAATATTAGAATTTATAAAGCATTTTAATATATATCAAATCACTGATATTATGCAATCCATTATACACTTTTTGTATAAAGTAATAAAATTGCAATTATATAAGGAATAGTAATCTCAAATGATATTTCAATAAATATTAGAATTTATAATTTTAAAATATTAGAATTTTAATATATTTGTTTTTATTTTTACTTTTTATTTTATTTCTACTTTACAGTATTTTATCTGCTATTTTCATTTTTTTCTTTTTTAACATATCGTTGTATGGATAGAAAAGATTCTAATTTTAAATGAAAAAATAATTATTTAAGGAATTAATTAAATAACGATAATTAATTTTCTCTGTTTTAACAATTAAACTTTATCCTTTTAAATTTATATTAAATTTTATTAATCCTTTATTAAATTTAAAAATTTGTAAAACATTTATATTTATTCTTTTTTTAATACTATTGTATCTTTGTTCCCTTTTATTTATTTAATATCATTATATATAAATTTTAAATAAAAAAAAATTTCTCATTTCTCTTTATTACAATTAAATTTTTATCTTATCCTTATCCTCTTTAAATAATTTAATGAAATTTCGATGTTTTATTACTCTTTTATTCAAATTTTTCACGATATTAAAAGAAAAACGAGAACGACGTTACATAAAATTCATTTTAAGAAATATACTTTTTAGTTACTTGTAACTCTGTTAAACAATAATAGTTTGCCCTTTTTTCGCATAGACCATGCACTGTCGATTCCATGGTGCTAATATCTTTTACAGGCAAGCTTTCGTGAAAATTTTCCAGACTTTCGCTTAGAGTTTGCGCAACTTTGCGGAAAATACGAGGCGATTTGGCAAGTTGCAAAGTTTTGGCGGTATTCTTTACTTTGTTACTTCGACCTTTACTAGCCAAGACAAGTAAAGATACGAACAGTTAACCGGCAAGGCTACATTATAGTATGCTATCGATCCATTAGGATGTTTTTGCGAACAGCAAATTTAACGGTTAAATGAAATCATGTTTATGGTTGACGTGTTTAGCCAGTGATTTATTTATGTATTTAAATACTTTTATTGTTCAGAATTTGAAGTGATTAATTTTAAATTTTTGTACATGGTTTTTTTCATTACCAAAACATGTATTATTTATTATTATTGAAGAAAACATGAAAATTTTTGTTCAATCTTATTTTAAGTTTTATAAGTTAAAAATACACATAATTTATTTATTTTTTCAATCTTTGATTCCTAAATTTGTATCATTAATCATTGCAGTTTATTATTTATTTAATTTCATTTGACAGACATATCATTTTTAATATAATTAATTATATTAAATTTATTTAATATTAAAATTATATTAAATTAATTAAATATATTATATTTATAAAAGATTGAAATACTTTGATTAAATGAATATATTTCTAATCTAAAATATATTGTTTAATAGAAAAAAGAACAAAACTAATTACTAAACTGTGGATATCTGTGCAATGAAATTTATATATATATTTTTATGAACACAAAAAGACAGAAATGGAACTGAATCAAAGATTTATTTCTTAAGTATCATAATATATACTACTTTTATACATAATATATAACTACTTTTATTTAATCATTAAAATTATTCTTCATTTTTTTTGAATTAAAATTTATTTTCACAAATAATTTTTCCATGTAATTGAAATGTTCGAGGTATTTCGACGATTATTAAACAAAGAAAAGAAATATTTTCATCATCCTCCATATCATAACAAATATAATCATAACAAAGAATGAGCGGAAGAGATCTGACAATGAGTGAAATCGACACTCGTCGAGTATTTGTCCGCAGGAATGCCCGATCTGTTTCGTGCAGGCCATTAGATTCACACCCATTAGTCACCAACTCCCGATTGATTAGCCACTGATGGAGTACACCGGCGGATAATTAATAATGGCCACTGTGCTCGATGGTTTACGTGGCACGCATAGGCCGTTTATTATATATCCATTTCCACGCACATAGGTGTGTGGAAGGTCGACAGAGAGAACCACACTTCTATTATAATGAAATTGGCTCACAGTTGATGTACCCCCAGGTTAAAATCTCCTTTTGTGCATCAATTACACAATTCAAAGTCGATACGAAGAAAGGAGAGCGTGTCGAACATGTTCAAGCGTGTAACAAACCTGATATTTCGATTATCAGCGTTAATTCGATATATCCCAAACGAGAATTCGATTTTTCGTGCCAAAAAAAAAAAAAAAAAAAACGTAAGGAGAAATTAAAAATTTTATCATAGAAACGCACATGAGGGATAGAGAGAGAGAGACACGTAAGTGAAATTAATTTTTGTTTCATCCGGATATCTCGATCGATTGCCGAGATATAACGATTCGAAGTTTTCGTACCGTTTAACATGGCGCGGAGATTATGAATGGGCCCGTGACCCAGTGACCTACATTATTTTCTGGAAACGCGTACTACGTTCTTTCTGGAATTACGTCTGTCGCTTGTCTGGAGTTTGGGATAGGTCAGTGAAAGGAGGCGCGAGCGAGAGGTTCGAGTAAGCGATTAAAAATTATACTTTTCTTTGCACGACGATATCTTGGGAACCGGAAGTCGTATCGAGATAAAGAGGAAAGCGTTTTAAAGAGTAAGGTTCCGCGTTTCTAATGATCGTTCGTTCGTTGCCCGGAAATCATTATCTTCCGAGTTATAGCGGTTCAAGTTTTTTCTAATTTTAATAGGATTTAATCGGTAAATTGGAAATTATCGTTCTCTTTACATGACGATATCTCAGGAACTGGAAATCATATCGAGATAAATAAAAATAGGTTTTAAAGGGGAAAATTTCGCGCTTACAATTGTCTTTCATTCGTTAAGCAAGAATCATTAGTTTTGAAATTATGGCGGTTTAAAGTTTTCCTAATTTTGATAGGATATAATCGAATTTTTATGTATTTTTATTTTTATTTTTATATAATTGTTTTTATTTTTATATAATAATTAAATTATACGATGAATATGTTTGTTTTTGAAGGAATATTTCTTACAACAATTTTATGGATGATATTATGATTTAAAAAAGTTATTCAAAGTTGAATCTTTTTTTAATCGATTGGTTTCGTGTTTGAATTAATTAATTAGACAATTTTTGTGAATTACGTTATTTTTGAACGTTTCTAACCTAAATTTTGAATATAAATTTTGTATATTTTTATGTGAAATATAAAAATCTATTTTGAATAATATTTGCTGTATGTAAATTGATTAAACTTTTTAAAATTATTTTAATAATACGGAGAGACAATATTCTCTCCTCTCTCTGAATCTTTTACTTAGAGAATGCATTACAAAGCATGGATTAGGTTATTTACGAGAAAACCGAGAAATCCATTCCTTTGAAATGGAGACGAACTTGCTGGAGATCTTGTCGACGAACAACGAAAACGAATTTTCTGAGAGTGTCGTCAGTATGGGGAGAAAGGTCGAAATAAAAGAAGAATCGAATGAGAAGAAGATCGTAAAACAAAAACTGGAGAAATTTCCACCAAAATGCTTTTTGATCGATTCACTTAATGCTAAGTGAGAAATCTACCTATCCTGGCTCGGACACATTTTTCCAGTTTTCAACTTGAATGATCAATCTTGCAAACTAGAACTTCCTTCGACAAATAATCAATTTCTTTGAATACGAATTCTAAATTGAGAATTCAACTTATTTTTAAAAAATTTCATGATTTTTTTTTAATATTAGAAATTCAAATTATCCTAACTTTTCATACAAAGTATAAATATTTGGATATCGGAGTTTGAAAATAAAAAAAAATTGTTTTAGTAATAAACTATTGTTTGAATATTTTTAAAAAAAGTGAGAGAAAAATGAATTTTCCTGTCACAAAAATGTTCAAACATTTAAGAAAATTTAAGTTATAAAAGGATTTAAATAACAATTTTTAATAAAAGCCAAATATTGAGTATTAAATTTTTCTTTGAATATTCATACATATAATATTATATATATAATTACCAAAAATAAATAATTTATCGATTGAACGAAAAACAATAATAAACAGTTAAGAAAAATAACGAATTCATTTAAAATAAGAATAAATTCACAGAATTCATTTTGACGATATAAAAATTTTTACTTTTCTTCCAGCATTTTTCTTAATTTTCATTTTATAATACACTTTGATATATTTTTATTCAACGTGTAGAACATGAAAGACAAAATATTATATCAAATATATTTTCATTTTCATTCACCAAGAAAAAGATACGGATAAACCTGATTGCCTTACATAAATCACTTTGACCAAAATTCCAAGCAAGGAAAGTACACAGAGTAATCCTGAACCTAAATCTATTACCATACAAGAATCTTCCATTCTCAACGTATCGTATACGTTCTCACTTAAAATCCCTTCCCTCCCTAATAAAATACCAAATTTCCAGTGGACCACATCTCACCGATATTTGCAAATAATTTGAAATGTAAATTGAACGGGGATGATAAGGAAACGAGGTGACTAAAAATAAATAATTTATTGATTGACCGAAAAACAATAATAAACAATTAAAAAAAATAACGAATTCATTCAAAATAAAAATAAATTCACAGAGTTCATTTTACGATATAAAAATATTCAACATTTTTCTCAATTTTCAAACAACAGTTTATATCACCACAAAAGATTTTCATTTTCTAACACATTTTGGTATATTTTTATTCAACGTGTAGAGCACGAAAGACAAAGTATTATACCAAATATATTTTCATGATTCACCGTAGCCAAGAAAAATATAAACCTGATTACATAAGTCACTTTGACCAAAAATCCAAGCAAGAGAAGTACACAGA